ACTCTGAACGTCTCCATCTCTGATTCCTACCGCAGTTCGATTGCCCTTGATTCCCAAGTTTGACCACTAAACTTCAAAATTCCTGTGATAATAACAATATCAGGGCCATCTTTCTCTAGCCTCCTGTTAAATCAAGTGTAATTTATCATTGGTAGGCGACAGTTGGTACATGTCTCTATTTAAGCTAGGCCAAATACGTCTTTCGTGGTCTGGTTTATGCTATTCATGTTGGTCGCCACCATATAAATGTACGAAAGAGAGAGGGCTTAAGTTCCATGGAGATAAAGGGCTGGGTGGTGAGTGCAGGTTCAATAAAGTTACAAGACAATGATGAGTTAGTGGAAATCTTGATTATTTCTTCCTGATGGTGAGAAAATACCTTTGGCGTCGTGTTAGTTTTGTATGAATACATGTCTACGTAAGACATGATATTCTGCAAGTCAGCGATTGATTGAGTGTCAGGTGGCCGTGGTGGTGTGCTCTTTATCGTAAGCTTGATTAACTAAAAGCAAAGTTGTAGTGCGGCTCAGGACTGCAAACTATGGACATTGAGCCGGCGGCAGGCTATAGTGGCCCTCAGTCCGACGCCGGTTCAACACTTTTCTCCTCGCTCTTGGACTCCTAGACACAAATGAGGGGTTAAGATAGTTCTCCATGCTGCTGCCTGATGGCGAATTCACTTCGCTGAGTTGATGTAGGTAGGTCAAAGGTGGAGCATTGTACAAAACCCAAGGGGACGTTAGGGGAGGTCGAATCTGTTTGGTTACATGCTTTATCTCAGGAGTCATTTGTCGCCACGTCGTATCATCTTCAGCCACTTCATTTTTCCCTGAGTGTCTAGGGAGAGCAAAAATATTTGAAATATGGCATGTTACACTAATTGGGTGGGGTTGCGACCGGCGACTATCCCAGTCATTGCTATTAGTCGATTATCGTGAAGTGCTATCTTATCCGCTGGCGATGTTCTTCGAGGCTCGGCACCTGGCCATGTAGGTCAGGGCTACGCGATGACGAGTAGTTTTCACAGCTCTACGGTCACGGTTTTGAGACAATCTTTCAACCACTAGTCAGATTGATTTTCGAATCCGTTTTACTTGCCTCAAACGAAGTGAAAGATTCATCGACATCATTGGACAAGAGTGTTTAATTGGTTGGCAGAGTAATCAGCTAGCTGCCGTAGCACTAATTTGATAGAGAAAGGTGTGAGATGGGTCAACCGGCATGCTGCAGAACGTTTATGTGCGTAGATATAGTAGGATATCCCTTGGGTTGTTCGGAATTTTCGCTACGGTGTAGACTTGCAAACTTCGGGGGTAGGTTGGTGAGTTATCATAATAAAGCTAAGGAAAAGCAAGAGCTTAAGAAATATGAGATAATCTCCCTAGACATCCTCCTAGCTCTGGCTAAATTTAGTCCACTGGTGTATCAGGAAATTAGCTTAATGCTTAAAAATGTAACTCACCATTAATTAATTGAAATTGCCCTTGGCATTATGCTTATATATGCTGGTTAAGTGGAGATAATTACCTAGCAGATTAAGAATGAGTCTGCGTAGGATATGAGCAATTTGTTAGTAGATAAAATAAACTTTAGTCGCAGTGATTCTTGGCTGTTTGGCGTTTATCGGACCCCGTTTTGCAGCTTGGTTAATGACAGGGAAGCCTGGTTCCACGTCCTACAAAATACTATCCATGATAATTTCCAAACCATGAAATTCTTACACCTCAAATATTGCCTGCATCTTTATTGAAATGCTTCATTCATAGAATAGTTGTAACTAGTCAAATTGACGATTTTCTGCCGAATATGAAATCTGAGAAAAGGAAAGATGTGTTTTTATGACGCTCATTCTCAATTAAGGCTACAAACGAATTATGGTTCTAGACATCGAAGGACAAATAGAAGCTAAATGTTTACAGAAACGTAATGTAAAGTGGCAATTTGGCCTGACTCAATGGGCTAGGAGTTAAATTGATTTAACGATGCAAA